GAGACTGAGGAGACAATCTCCTCAGTCTCCATGCACGCCCTGCTTAGAGGACTGTCAGAATAACCCATGTTATATAGGTGTTTGTTAAAGTTTCCATGTTCAGTAAGTATACCTACTATTTGCCTTAGAGTCCTGTTGCTTCAATCCATTTATTTATAATATTAGGATAATACGGAAAACTAAAACAAAAATTACAGTATAATTCAATATAAAATTAATTATCCTTTCTTCTGCTTTCAAAAACGATATTTTTTTAATCGGGTAAAAAAATCGCATTGTACAGCACTATTCTCCATTTTTGAGAGAAAAAATGATAATTTGTCCTCCAACAAATTGACCTTGAATCATACGTCGATGGTTTTACAAGCACAGCTGGACTGACAAATTAAAGCCGCAATGGAAAGCTATTACTGGACACATGACCGTTTTGATAAAAATAATACGGAGCAACAAAACTAATGATTTTTAATTCAAAATAGATATATCAAGGCAAATAGTTACTTACCGATGGAAGGAAATACCTCGACTATAAGATCCAACCATATTGGTGGTGTTTGAGCAGGTAATTATCGAATAACGCAAAGTGGACTGAGCCTCGCGGCGAGCAATGAAGCTGTCTAGACATCGTTTCGGCACGCGAAGTACGTACACTTTTTCCTTCTAACTAGATATATTTCTGTGGTTAGAATAGAACGTAGTGTTCAATCGGTTTAATTTCTCGGGAATCCCCGATTTTCCGACCATACAGAAACAATGTGTTTTTCTATAATCGGGGATTCCCTAGATCTATCTCTTTTAATTTTTGGCGAAGAAGAACACAATCAACAATTATCTTCTTGCTTGACATAAGTGGAGGCTCTTCAAACAATTATTCGATTATTTTAAAACAATCAAATACAGTAATCAAACGTTTAACGCTACGTTACGATGCTCTTGTTCCAACTATATAGTGACACTAGTTTTATTTTAAAAGTAGACATATAAATAGTGTATAAGTAGCAGATTCAGTTTTTTAATATGTTAGTTAAAATGAACCGAAATGACTGTTTTTGTTCCATTCGTTTCCTGCAAAAATCAACTTTTGCTAGAGTCGCCATCTAGGTGGAGGTATTTTTGTAGTGCTTTCGTTTTTTTTAAATACTTCCTCATAATGCAGAATCAGAAAGAAGCGCCGGACGAAAAAGAAGGGGCGCCGCAGGCCGCGGCGCCCCTTTTCGTCCGGCGCCCCTGGGCGGTCGCCCAACCGCGCCCTACCCTAACGCCGCTACTGGCGAGATCGAATCAGAAATGATGAGATCCGCAGAAGAACGAAAGTCACCGACATAGCCCAAAGAATTGCGAACCTCAAGTGGCAGTGGGCAGGGCACATCGCTCGCAGAACTGACGGCCATTGGGGCGGTAAGGTCCTGGAATAGCGACCGTGTACCGGGAGATGCAGCGTTGGTAGGCCCCCCACAAGGTGGACCACCGATTTGGTGAAGGTCGCGGGAAGCCGCTAGATGCGGGAGGCGCAAGACCGATCACATTGTGGATCTTTGTGGGAGGCCTATGCCCAGCAATGGTCGCCTCTCGGCTGAAATGATGATGATGATGATGATGATGTAAAGATACTACATTTCTTAATTTAGGTGAACAAAACTGATGTTGTATATATACTACATTGAGAAAATCTAGATTTTCAGACAGATATTCTTTTTATTATTTTTTTGAGAGCCTACGTTACTTAATAAATGAACCATATAATTTATGTTTATCAATTTGAAAAAAAAAAGTTTGGTGTTTCTCAGGAGGTTATAGAGTAAAATTAAAAAATTCAAATAATTTTGTGGTAAAAATAATAAAGCCGATAATTTTTGTATTTACTTTTTGTAACGCACTACTTATGGATCTTCATTTGGACCATAGTCCCGTATCACAAACTGTCATTATAAAGTCAAATGAACATTGGTAGTTCTATAACACAAGCAAGACTCAATTGTTTTAATCCTGTGAAACGGCTTTTAGTTACTTTAATAATAAAATCTTAATTTACAGAAATATGGTTTTACAAGTTGTTAACAATTTTTAAATACCTAGCATATTTTGTCAGGACGACCTGCAAATATTATAAGTCATACATGTCATTTTTAAAAAGAAATATAAGAATGTCAACATATTTTTTTTTTCAATATGGACTTGTTCCGTTATTCAACATAATTCCAAAAAATTAAATACAAATTGTCACTAAAATTGAATGAAATTGATATAAAAAATGTCAGAATCTTTATCAAATAATTAAAAATAAATAAATACAAAAATGTCAATTATAATTATATAAATTATCAAAATGTTAATGCCAATAAAAATGTTAACAAATTTACGATTATATGTCATACACAAGTGGCCGCCAGCGACTTCGTCCGCATTTTCCATTATTTCTTCGCTCCTAATAGTTGTATATAAAAATGAGTACGCAGATCTTTGGGAGTCATATAGTTGCATAAACTTGATTGTAGTTAATAAACCTTAATTTGTAACGGTGATCTTTCTTTTTTTATTCTGTCTATATTTCTACATCGGCGTCATTGTTTTCTTTGCTGGAAGAGTGCTTAGAATCTAATACACGGTTTATATGTAGCAATAAGATAGATAACGCCTAGGGATATAATAATATACTATAACATAGTTTTACGAAATAGCTTCATTATTTTATTGACATCGCATATTTTTGTATTTACTTATCTAGTTATAAATCTACCATAGATTCCATATCCATACTAAACTTAATTAGACTTATGGATAAAACGAAAGGTTATACCTAGACCCGATTAGATTTATTGTAGTACTAGTTTCCGCCAGCGACTTCGCCTGTGTTTTCCATTATTTCTTCACTCCTAATAGTTGCAGCGTGATGTTATATAGCCTAAAGCCTTCCTCGATAAATGGTCTATTTAACACAAAAAGAATTTTACAATTCGAACCAGTAGTTCCTGAGATTAGCGCGTTCAAACAAACAAAGAAACAAACTCTTCAGCTTTATAATATTAGTACAGATAAACCGTAGTGTGCGAATGTACCAGTCTTAACGACTCTTTTGGCTCGAGAGTTGCAGCTTCGTTAGGTGCGCCAACCGCTCGTCTCCCGTTTTCCCAACATTTCCCTTCACTGCTCTGCTCCTATTGATTGTAGCGTGATGAAAAGTATACTATAACCAGCTCAGGAGTATGAAAAATAATTGTACCAAGTTTCGTTAAAATTCGTCGAGTAGTTTTTCTTTCTATTACGGTTATACAGACAGACAGACAAAAATTTTACTGATTGCATTTTTGGCATCAGTATCGATCTCTATCACCCCCTGATAGTTATTTTGGAAAAATATTTCATGTACAGAATTGACCTCTCTACAGATTTATTATAAATATTGATTTTTATCTTTAAAGAAGTCATTTATGGTATAATATAATTCATCAATTAAAAAATCCAACAAATGCTTTCTGAATTTAGTAAATGTCAGTGTTTTTATCTGATTAGGTAGATATTAGGTAGATGACGGATTGCCATACATAATTGAGCCATACCATAGGTATTATCGTAATAAACAGAAATGACAATAATTTCCTAAATAATTTGTGTTTTATTTAAAATCAACATCGGCCCTTAAAATTTAACCACCCGATACTTCTGGACAAAATATTTCTATTGATAATTTTTGTAAATAGTTTGCATGGCGATAGGTTTAATAACAGTAAGCTGGTGCAACGTATCTATGAATAAATAAATATATAATAAACCCTTGAATCTTTTCTATTTCGTTTTATTGCCCAATACCTACACCAAGTATAAAAATAATTGTAATTTATGTTGTTAGAGTTTAATAGTTTTATTACCTGCCCATGTACGAAAAAGAGCTGATGATAAAGTTGCTTAGCATTTTTAAAGTATTTGTATATTTAATGATTTTACTTCAAAAACCTTACCAATTTTGATAGCAGTGGGCCCCATTTTTTTATTTGCCCCAGGGCCCTAGGATACCTAGCTACGCCACTCAGACTATAAAAAATACTGTCCATCCAACGTATTCAATTTTAAACTTTAATGAATTAAGAGTAGAGTTCAAAAACCTATTGCAGTGAGATTGTGACCATCTTTTGTAGCTTAGCTCTGTAGCAAAAAAATTGAATATTTTTCTAATTGTTTTGTAGTGTTCAATTATATTGTTTATGGTATGCATTCTGATTTTCTTTCTGATGTTGTTTATAAAAGCGAAGTAAATTTTGTTAATTAATATGTAAGCCATCTGTTCATCTAGGTTTTGAAAAAACATATTTAATTTTATTTAATTAATCTCAGATTTGTAAAATACCTAAAATTACAGACTAAATAAACTTCTTGATTCTACCTCTAGGTTAGAACTCTAAGATTCTTAACATTATATCATTATAGTAGCATTTGTGAATAGTAGTAGGTCTTTAATATTTCATGAATTTATAATTGGAAAGAATGCAATTTTATCCAATGAATACATCAGGAAGGGCATAAAAACGGCCTGGAAAGTTATTTGGAATTAATTATACAGTACAAAGCTGTGGAGCTGCCAGTCTGACGTCAGCCAGCAGTGCCACAAAGAACGTTTATGTCCGAAACTATTTAAGTTGGCTATTTGTCCTTGGTTCGTAACGTAGTGCTTAGTCAATAAGGGACTAGAAGGATCTAGAATTCATTTCAGAAACGAAGAGGGTGGCGCTGCTAGCCTGACAGCCATTTTTGGCGTTCCTCTGAAACTGGCGCCTGTGGTGAACAATTCATGAGGTTCCTTATCACATGTTTGGTCTCTTCATAGAAATCTCAGCGGTTATATCTCTGATATTTAAGTTTTAAACTGTCCACGGAAATTTGAGATCTTGTGGTAATCTGACCTGCAGACTAACGCCCACTCCTCGCTCTCAAAGGCTGTACTTTGACAAAAGATGACAAAAGGTTGATACCATATCATACAGAAAGACGTCGATACACAAATAAAACAAGTTGAAATCTAAACTTTATTTGGTTTGATACAAAACTTATATCATAAACCACACCGCTACATACAATTAAACAAACACGAATTCTGGTGCTAAAATGTAACTACGTAACTTATCTAACATTTCTCACTATAAGGTTTTAGCGGTTTGAAATCCGCGTTCCCGCTTAAATACGCGTCTACAAAGTTCTGAACGGAGTCTGTGGTTATTTCATCTCCATACTTCATGGTTACCATTCTTTGTCGCGGGAAATCTATGGCTGTCAGAAGCGGAACAGCATCATCGAGGCCGATGTGTTCCCTGAGCATGTCGGCACTATCTGTCCCATCGACTCCTATAAAAAACATGACATGTTTGAATGATTTCTTTTTGACCCTCGAGTGTTTCGAGGTGGGGTAATCGAAATCCATTGTTTCGTCGTCCGACGAGTTTTGGTATGGGCAGAAGCCTGGAAACTGAATGCTGCATTCTTCGTAGTAAGATTCAGCTGAGGGAGTCAGAACAGATTCTGCAAACTCTATCTCGGAATCTTCATCGTCTGAAAAGAAAGTTAGGTACGTTAATTTTAGACGCTTTTAAGAACGATAGAAGTCGTAGCTGTTGCTGAATTTGTGAGGTAGGTAAAATTATAAAGAGAAATGATTTTAGTGTTTGTTTGCATTAAATAGGCCGTAGGCTCTAAAACTACTTCCTGAATCGACTTTAAAAACACTTTCATTTACGGCCAGTTACATCATACACGGAAAACAGTATATGTTCGTTCCTAGCCGTTGTGCACTTATGTAACCTTATAAGTGTATAACTGAAATGCTAACACACGTATTATACATACGAATTGATTGAGAATCAACAGTGCTATCTTATTGCATGAGAAACAAAATTCACTTAGTAGTTGTTTACCGATGAACAAAACAAGAGCAGGATGACGCGCCATCTTGAGGAGTGCTTGCTCTGTCAGCACGGATACCGCCCGCTGTCCCCACGGGAAATTCTGGATAAGCAATGTCATATTTTATTTTAGTTAGCATATTCGGCATTAGACGGATTGAAATGAAATATTTATTTAGACGAAGAGTTCTAAGAAGGCATTCTGAAAAAAGCTATTAAACCTATAAGGGGTTTAAATAGGAAATTGAAACTACAACTCGTGCGAATTAACATGACACCTGACGGTCTATTCTAGTTCTCCGTAAGCGAAATTTCATCAATTTTCGAAACGCTAATACGACTCCAATAAATAATAATTATAAATAAATAATCCGATAATTTATAATGGAACGGAAATGAGGCCTGACACTGCTTTAGATGCAACATCAACAATCTTCATGGATATTATTTAACAAAATTGAACGATTTGAAATTTACCGAATTTTCATTCGACGACAAATAGAATAGGGTCTATTAAATTTACTTTTCTCCATAAAGTGTTATTATTTTATTAATTAATTTAAATTGACACGCAAAGACATTCAGTTTTGATACATTCATTTCAATAAACATGACTACTGATTGGATTCACATCAAAGACGTTGGCGTTTAGATTATTGAAATGTGACGTCATACGATGCTCATCCGTCATAGCCGCCTGCATTTTAGTTCTTGTAATCCATTATGAATTTTTAATTCACAAGTTTTTTTGGAAAAATAAAATAAACTTACAATTTATTTTAATACAAAAATACTATATATACGTATTGTAAAAATATGAATAAAATAATTTATTGTTATTATATCTGTCAAGTAGCCAATTTCAACTGTCTCTCTTTCTTGTAGCTATTCTCTCATAAAAATAATTCTACATACCAGTCCCAATGGGTCAGCAGTGAGGTGACTCCTGCCGTTAGCTGTGAGGATCTTCCCATCTCCATCAGTGATGACCAGAGCCGGTATGCCCGCTACTCCCAGCGCGGCCGGCAGTGCCAGTCTTGCTTCAGACGCGGACCATGGCACAGCCAACGCGCCGACAGTATTCACCGTCTGAAGTGTCCGATTATACGACTGTTCGCTCCTGTAATTGTATTTTTTCCATAAATCATCTATACTTTATCATCTTAGTTATTTGTTATACAAGAGTCCAAAGTTACTTTTTAACCTCGTGCTCATAACCGAGGGTATGTTCCGATATACACTGCGACCACTGAACAGTATGACGTCAATTTAGTGTATACTAGTTTAGTGTGGTACTGGAAGCCCGTTCCTTTATAGCTAGTTTTACTGGTGACTTTTTAAAACGGAACGCAGTCCAGTATACTGTTAATCCTATTTTTTGGCGCCATTTTCAAATTTGTTAATGAAAGGTGAATATAAATATAAAGATTCCCTCTTTTCAAAAGAAAATTGGAAAATTGTATAAAAAAATTATTTATCAATTAAATCCATCTTATAAATAAACGTAAGTATTTTTTTGTTTATTTAGAAACTTATCATTTTCTGATTCTGTTTCGACTGATCACGTGATCAAAAGCACTGCGAGCACCTTACCTCGAAATCTCCAGTGCTCACAGTACAAATATGGCGGCAATTTATGATGTCATAAATTTCCCTAGGGTACTGTAGCAGTGTACTGGCAGTCCATAACGGAACGGATTTTTCAGCAGTAAGACCACTGCGCAGTGCTCGCAGTGTATATCGGAAGTCGGAACATATCCCGAGTAAGCGCTGTGCTCATGATTCAATTTAATAATCCTGAGCGGTAGCGAGAGAATCAAAACCTCATGGGTTGTATGATAAATTCGGTACCATGAAGTAAATAGGTTTAATGATGTTTTGAATTGATGCATATGATGTTCTAAAACAGTGAGCGCACATGATGTTCTATATTAAATTTGGTTTATCCTCTGGCGGATAAAAATTTTAGGGCATGCCGAAGTTATTTTGTGGATTGGACAAACGCTAAGATAATAGTAATAATAATAATAATAAATAAAACCCCATGAGCAGTGAAAAATAGGTTGAAAATTTGTATGAAACTTTATGTTTGATTATAAATGAGTAAATACGCGGTAAATTGTTTGTGATTTTTTTATCCTTAAGGGGTCAAATAAGAATTGGAAGTTTTCATGGAAGTCCGTCATTGTTAGCAGGTTTCAAAATTCAAAATGAGAAGGTTCTATGGAAAAAGTTTTCATATATACTATTTTCAGTTTTTATTTTTATACTGATATGTGACGGTACCTGGTATGACGGTTCACGGTACTGAATAATCTGGACGGTGGAAGTGGATTCCACTTCAGAGGAGGAGACGGAGCATCGTAGCAACAGTCAGCCCGTGACCACGGCCGGTGTAATCCGGTCGAAACGTCGCGATATATAGGTAGGTGAAAAACCTAATTATAAATCTATCGCTTTAATAGCCGTTACCAATAAGCGCTACTAGAGAATATATTTATTCGACCTAAATTTTTAGTGCATGTACGTTTTAATATTGAAGTAAATTGTTATATTTTAACGATATAAAAATAAACCAGATTGTCTGACATCTGCAGGCAGCTTTATCGGGTTAAATTAATTCCCCCTGAACTTAAGAGCAAGGGAATTAGTGAGACAGAGAGTGGTTACTGAGTGCCAGTTAAATGGTGTGGAGTTAATAAGATTTACGTGTTATTTTCATTATGTTACGTGTTATTTTCATGTCAGTTTTTTTTCTGGAGGGACTCGATGGCATAAAAGTTTATGAACAGTGGTTGTTTATGATAACTTACGTAAAATAAAAAGGATATAAGTATATTCCTAATTATAACAAGAAATGGCAACAACGGTGAAATTAATGGGTATATATATGATATTTTCTATAGAGAAATTTGTATAAAATCTCTTTTTTCTCTGTTTGTCTTAGAAATATGTTATTGTTTTCTTATTTTCATTTACAGCTTTGGACGTTATTTCGTACGCGCCCTCTTAACACCTATCAATCCATATTTATTTTCCATATGCCTTAGGCATGAACCGATGATGATATAATGAACAATTTTTCTCATTGTATTAATGGTAAGTATTTGTAAATTGTATAGTAAACATAAATTATGTATATCACATTCACATACCTGATAACTGATTATTTAAAAAAGTATGTTAATCAATAAAACACAATTTAAAAATAAGGATGATTAAATCAGATTCTGTCGTTATTTTTACTAAAAACATTGTAAAAGCATAATCAAAGTAAAATAAAAACTATACTAAATCATAATTACCGACAACCACCTGATGGCCTATTCTATTTATCTGAAACGAAAATACATCTATTTTCGAAATGCTACTACTGTTCTCAAGAAAGCATTTTTCAACGGAGGTAGCGTAGGAGGAGATAGCACATGATGCACAGATAAGATTTTAATAAAATTAAATAGTGATAATAATTTGAAATTTCCGAATTTTCGTTCGAGGATAAATATGTTAATTTGTACTAGTTATATATTATATAATTATGAGGTGCTCGATGGCGCAGTGGCTAGCGCGTTCGGTCTGCCATTCGGTTATTAAGCATCTTTCGCAATGGTCGGTCATAGGATAGGTGTCCAAAAAATATTATCTAGAACTCCTCCGTGTTTCGGAAGGCACGTTAAGCCGTTGATCCCGGCTTCATCTGCAGTCGTTTATACCCACCAATCTACGCAGGGCCCGCGTGGTGGCCCATCCTCCCTATTTCGATTCCATCCGTAGAGAACGCCTGAGCCCTAAAAGTGGGAACATTATTAGGATGATGCTGATGTGATGATGAAGCATCTTGCACTCTTCAAATCTATTTATTAAACACACAAATAAGTGATTTTCCTTGAATGTAATTGACTGGTTCATAAATTTATTATATTGGGCAATTTTCGTAAGTTAAACTCGGCAGTAGTCCATTCGCAGCCAATCCAATCCCCTAAATCTGACGGGATTGCCCGTAACGGAGGCAATACGAACAAGGATTTTCTGTTCCCGAATATGGTCATAAACAGGATTCAAAGTAGTATCAAAGTTATTGGAAGTCAAATAGAACTATCATAACTCAAATATTTGTAATAGCATTTTTTCTTCAAATTTGTTTTAGGGCTTTATGAAGTGTACATTCATTCATTCAATGAAGAATAATATATTTTGTTTGCATTTTATTGATCTCATTGGTATTATACTGGTATCTCATTGCTTGTTTTTACTCATTAAATTTAGGTTACGTCGGTAGGTAGGGGAGACCTAGGTGAGTTGTGACAGAGGTGAGTTGTGACAAGGAGGATTTCTCTCTACGTATTATAGTAAGCGAGATGGCATTAACGCTTGTTTGTCGTTCTCGACACGCGCTACACGACTCAGTACCTGTCGACGGTGCTTGTGGCACAGTTGCGTAAATATATCGTCAGTGTACAAAAAATTACGAAAAGTAAGTTTTTCTTCAAAATATTATTTGAATATATATCATAACTTAGTATATGTGCATTGATGTGTTATTTTTTCTTAAGTTATGTAGTTATTTAAGTCTCAATACGTGGCACTGATTTTTTGTATGCGCATCGTATTTAGAAAATATGAATTATTATTCGGACCAAGACGTCATTTTGAACACCTAGGAGAGTTGTGACAGCCTGTCACAACTCTCCTAACTTACTCCAAATTTCTGCTGGGCTATTTTTACATTTTTTTTTATTAACTTTAGATGTTTGTTGGTGTGTTAGTAGTTACTTAAGGTGTATAATGGCATACCGCATACTTATTTTTTTGAGAATACCAAATAACTATACACGAGAGACTGAAAATCTAAGAATGTTAAGAAGCGTGTCTTAAGCGAAGAAAAAAAAAGAAACCTAAAAAAGCAAAGAAGACTAATAAGAAGAATAGAACAAGTGATGAAGAAGATGTAGAAAATAATTGCTTTTATTTGGTTTGCCTTGAAGCCTATGCAGACAGCAGATCGAATGATCAGTGGGTCCAAAGCCTGCAATGCAAAGGCTAGGCACAGTTAGATTGTACTGGGGACGAACTTCATTACGTTTGGCATAAATGTAAATCTGATTAGATTAAGATTTTATACTGATGAGAATACTCTCATAACAAGTAATTATAATATTTTCATTAACTAAATATTGTATCGCTTTGAGATCAATCATATTATTGTAGTATTAATATTAATACTATGTTGTTTTAGTTGGTAGGTATTAAAAGATGATTAATCAAATCAAATCAATCTTTATTGTTGATCGCAGGTTATATAAAGATATTGGATGCAAGGACTGAATAGTTACACCGTGATCTGCCTAAAAAGCATACAATATTTGTAGGTTAGTAATTGTCAACTAATCTAATCAATAACATGTTATGTCAAAAATTCAACTAATTCATTAAGTATTTATACATTTACAAAGTACTGTCAGCTATATACTCGTTTACACTATAATATGTTTTAGCTACTAATAATTTATAAAGTTTTCTTTTAAAAACATTACAATTATTCAGATTACGTTACGTGTTTTTGGAATTTTATCAATAATTTTTGGAGCCATACAAAAGATACTTTTGTTCAACTGAGCTGTCTTAGAGGGTATCGTACACAATTTGTCTCGATGACGCAATCTCGTCTTATTTTCAAATAGTTGTTGATCCTGTTTGACAAAAATACCAACTTCGAATATATAGATTGATGGCAGGGTCATAATATTTAGTTTAATAAAATATGCTCCTAACAAATTTTTTCTGGGCTTTAAAGGCAGTTACAGAATCAGTCGAATATCCCCAAAATATAATCATAACATATAACCGTATCGAACAGTAGAAACTACGTACGCGTGATAAGCTGTAAGGACCGTGCACTGATTCGCGATCCTACTAAGTTTGTACAGTGCACAAGAATACTGCGACAACTTTTTGCAAACATTCAGTGTGTGTTTTCCAAGTCAAATTTATTATTATAGTACTGATTAAAGTACTGATTTGATAAAAAAAACGTGCTTGATTTATTTATGTCGTATGTAATGGTATTTTTATATCTTATAGCTTAAATACAATGATGTCACAACTTACCTCGGTACCTGT